CGCCTCTTCCCCCCCATAAATAAATAAATAAATCTGCCACCCCCCCAAAAAAAATCTGGGGTTCCCGCCTCCTCTCTTGCTCATTAGCTTAAGCACACACACACCTATTCCCCCTCCTCGCTCTAATTTCCCCCGGGTCCCAGGGCTTCCTTCTCCTCCGGGGCTGGGAGGCGAAAAGATGCTTGCGGGCATCCGAGCACATCCTCCCGTCGCCATGGCAACCTCCTCCTCCTCCTCCTCTCCCAGGGCTGCTTGCCAGGCCTGTGGTCCAGCATCTCCCTTAAAATAAAAACCCGGCCATGGCATCTCGGCGGTCGGTGGGCAACAAGGTGAGAGCATGCTTGTCCCTTGAGAAAATGGGGTGCTGGAGGCTGGGCCAGATTCTCCTTTGGGGGGTGGGCTTGCGGGCTGGAAAAAGGGGCGTTTCGGAGATGCCTTATGAGGCTTCTTTCCTAGAGGTGTGGGGGCATGGGGGGCATTGTCACCTTCCTCAGCACTGCAAGATGGGCGGCGGTCGGTGGGCAACAAGGTGAGAGCATGCTTGTCCCTTGAGAAAATGGGGTGCTGGAGGCTGGGCCAGATTCTCCTTTGGGGGGTGGGCTTGCGGGCTGGAAAAAGGGGCGTTTCGGAGATGCCTTATGAGGCTTCTTTCCTAGAGGTGTGGGGGCATGGGGGGCATTGTCACCTTCCTCAGCACTGCAAGATGGGTGTGGAAGCCGGCAAAGGGGGCTGCACGGCCAGGGTGGGAGAATCGCCCACCCCAAAGAGAGAGACAGATGCCCTTGAATGGGAGGAGAGTGCAGCAGCCACTGGGAAGACAGCCAAAAAGTGTCTATAGAGCGAGGAGGTGGGGGTCCTATCTCCCTCCCTCCCTGTCCCCCCAGTATGCTCAGCGGTTGGAAAGGAGGGGGGTGGGAATTGCTCGCCCTTTATGGATCTGGTGAACCGATGATCCGGTTCCTAGACAGCTGGAGGCCATCTCCGGACAGGGAGCAGGCCGGATGCAGGATCTGGCCCTGGGCTGTCTGGGGGAAATCGTAGATGTTGGATGGGAGGGCAGGAGAAGATGATGGGCTCATGGTTCAATGTATCGGGAGGGGCTGCCCGGTGGCAGGATTCTGTTCCAGATCTTTATGCTCGCCTGTAGCGGCTGAGTCCGTCCCCCCTTTGCGCCCGCATGCCTGTTTTTATGTGGGGCGAAAATTATTAGGCTAGCAAGCGCTATCTCTACCGACTCTAGCCGTCCTTTTATAATTATGTTAATCTTATTACAGTAATCTTATTATAGTCATAGTCATCTTTATCCTATAGTAATCTTAGAACGGCAGGAGCTGGAAGGGGCCCGATAGATCATCCAGTCCAGCCCCGTTAAAGGAGGCGCACGTGGGGGAATCGAACCCGCGACCTCTGGCTACAGAGCCAAAGACCTATCCAGCAGTTTAGAGTCTGTCCAGCCCAGAAATTCCCAAAATGTTTTGGGCATCCCGACCTTTATTTGGCTCTTTGATAAACTTCCACTGAGATCCTCCTCCTCCTTTAATCATGGAGCGCGAAGGGGCCTCTGAGGCAATCTAGTCCAACCCCCGGCTCAAGGCAGGAACCCAAATCCAAGCAGATCTGACGGATGAGGGTCGAATTGTATCTTGCATGCCTCCAACGTTGGAGCGCTCGCCCCCTCCCGAGATTACGGTTTCCGTTGTCGTACTGCTCTAACAGTTGAGACTTTCCCCCACTCCATATCCCATGTTCCTTCCCCATCAGTCAATCATCCATCCCGGAGTACATTTCGTTGTTTTTTTTAAGCAGGGCTGGGAAGGATAAATGTTTCCCCTGTTGGAGGTTTCTCTCCCCCTTCTAAGCTTTATGAATCCATCGATGTCCACGTACCTACATATCCATATATTAACAAACTTTGAGGATTGTGTAGCGATACTGCCCTCTTGTGTGTGTCGGGTGCAAAGTAACAAGAGTACGAGGAAGACAGAAAGGAATTCTTCAAGTTCTGAACATAGTTAATTCTCAAGGCAGGCTGTATTTTTCAGGGGAAGGACACAGCACAAGAGGAAAGAGGGAGGAGGAGGGAGGAGGAAAACCAGATCACCAAGGAATGTTGTTTTCATGTGATCGTGTTGGACTTTGGTTTTAAACTAGCTTGCGTTTTCACACTTGCCTTTTAAAAAGGCCCTTTCTCAGACGTGTGTCGGAAACGAAAGATATTAAAAACTGCCCTTCTGTTGACCGGGGTGATGGAGGAGGGACGGAGCCGGGAAATGGGCATACCGTCCTCCGTGGCCAGCACAGAAATCAGGAGAGCCAGAGAGATTTTGCGTCTTCCGCCAGCCAGCTTATTCGCCTCTGTAGAGCTGCTGGTCGCCTGCGGTGACTGAGCGAGGGTGGTTCTAAGGCAAGGGTGCTCCCAGATGTGGTCTGGGAGTGATCGCCAGATTCGGGGAAGATAACATAGAGATCTAGAAGGGAAGGGACTCCAGCCGACCTCCCCCTTTATCCTCCTTTTCCTGGCCTTTCAGACCAGCATGAAGAACATGGAGCGGGAACTGCTTTGTCCGGTTTGTAAGGAAATGTATAAGCAGCCCGTCGTGTTACCCTGCATGCATAACGTTTGCCACATCTGTGCCACCGAGGTCCTCCTCCAGCAGGGCTACATCTGTCCAGACCCCACCTCCGAGCCGACCTCGCCGGCATCCACCCCGGCCACGCGGAGCCCCCGCCTGGGACGCCGGGTCGTGCCCAAACCGGAGCGCCTGGACCGGCTCCTCAAATCCGGTGAGTGGCACCCCAGATTCTCAGATCCTATTTATAGCAAGAAATGTTGGGGGGTGTCGTGCATTTCTGTGGGGGAAGCATTCATTCTACTCCTCTTTCTAAGAACATTCCAACCCCTGGGGCAGTTTTGTGGGGCAGAAACAGAACCCCGGTGAACTTCTTGTTCTTGAGTTCTGAGCAAGCCGCAAAGTCTCTAGTGCCCTAGCAAGCGTATTTATTTACTTATTCATTTAAAACATTTTTAAGCCCTCCCTCCCCCATCTTTCTCATTCCTAAACGACCCAAGACATAGACGGTCCATATGGGTGGAGCAGAAGACATTATATAGCAAAAGGAAGCATGCAAATCACTTTGCACGCAGAGGAGACTGATTGCACACAAGTTGGGTGAGCCCCAGGACAGAAGCAGGAAGTCTCTAATGAATGGCTGATTCTAATTTATGAGACAGGATTTTGGCCAATGTCTTTTTAATGCATGACGGGGAGAAAGAAAGCTATACAGGCCCAGTAACAACCTGCTTAGCGTCATTGGATAATAAGCAATACTACCGCTAGGTTCTGCCCCCTTCCAAATAATGTTTTACATTGTTTCATTACAGGGATACCTTTAGATCTCTGCAGGTCTTGAAAAAGTTACTTTTTGGGAATAGACTCCGCAGAGTTCCTTTTAAGAAGGCTTCCAGGAGTGACCGTTCACTTCTGATTGTTTATTCTTTTTCCGCTCCCAGAGGTGGGTTTGTTGAGGAGCAACAAAATTAGGCTAAATTCTCAACCAGCTTCTGGGCGGACTTGTTTGCCCTTTCCTAGCCTAATCAGTCTGGCCGAAGAGAACAGAAAGCTCACAAACAAGCCCTTCTGTTGTCATTTATTGGGATTTAAGGGTAAACTACCCTTGCATATGGAGGTTCCATCAACTCCGCATGGACAGCAGTTATTGAGGCACCTCTTCCTTTGCTGTGCATGACATTAAACATCCGCGTGTTACAGGGCTTTGTCTCTCTTGTCCCTCATGCCAGGTTTCGGCACGTACCCGGGGCGGAAACGAGGGGGCGTGCACCCCCCGAGTGTCCTCTTCCCCTGCCCGTTGTGCCAGCGCAGCGTGGACCTGGGCGAGCGAGGCTTGGGTAGCCTTTTCCGCAACCTGACGCTGGAGCGCGTCGTGGAGCGCTACCGCCACACCATCAACGTCAGCGCGGCCATCATGTGCCAGTTTTGCAAGCCCCCGCAGCTGGAGGCCACGAAGGGCTGCACCGAGTGCAAATCCAGCTTTTGCAACGAGTGCTTCAAGCTGTATCACCCGTGGGGCACCCAGAAGGCGCAGCACGAGCCCACCCCGCCCACGCTCAATTTTCGACCCAAAGTAAGGGGGGGGTTTCCCTCTTCTCTCTCTCTCTCTCATATCCACGGGATCAGTATCCAGTGATTCACTTATCTATGTTCTGAAAATATTAAAAATTGTAGCAGAAAAATTCTGGGAAATACAGTGGTGCCCCGCTTGATGACGATAATCCGTTCCATTAAAATCACTGCACAGCGAAATCATCATGCGAAAAAAAACAACCCATTGGAATGCATTGAAAACCGGTTAATGCGTTCCAATGGGGAAATACCTCATTGTCCAGCCCATAGATCAGCTGTTTAAAATCGCTGTTTTGCGACGCTTCTGTCCGGAAAACAGCCATTTTGCGAAGGGAAGCCAGCCATTTTGCAAAGGGAAGCCATTTTGCTGAGCCGGAAAAATCATCGTTTTGCGAACAAACGGTTCGCGAAGCAAGAACCTAATCAACGTAAAGTGGAAATCCCCCATAGGAAACATTGTTTTGCGAGCGCAATTGCGATCGCAAAAACGTCATCATCAAGCGATTTTGTCGTTCAGCGGGGTAAGAGTCTAGCGGGGCACCACTATATATATATTTCTAATGATGAGGTTATCAGAATTGGCCACTAAAGGGAGCCAGAGACCACGTTACACATAGCTTTCACTAGTGTGTTCGCTATCATCTGTGTTTTCCAGTATCCACAGGGCGGGAATTGGAACCCTTCCTGCATGGATATGGGATCCTGCTATATACTAGATTTCTGCCTTTTTTCGTTCGTTTCTTTTTCCTCTTCAGGGTCTGATGTGCCCAGAGCACAGGGAGGAGGTGACACATTATTGCAAGACCTGCCAGCGCCTGCTCTGTCAGCTGTGCCGCGTACGCCGCACTCACACAGGTCACAAGATCTCGCCTGTGCTCAGCGCCTACCAAGCGCTCAAGGTGAGATATTTATAAGGACGTTTAAGCTTGCAACATGGGAGGGTAGGGGAAGCACTTCTCCAGAAGCGTGCAATCAGGGAAGCAACAGCAGATTATTGGTGGATAGAGGTATAGAACAGTCATGATGTGTGTTTTGGAGTTTTTGGGACTACAGATCCCATGCTTCTCCTGTCTGGAAGCCCCACCTCCATAGCTCTGGACTTACAGCCATCTTAGCTTGTGGTCACCTGGAGAGAAGGCCCAGCTGGGGATAGGCCTAACTTCCTGTTTGAAACGGAAGCTGCCCCAATGGGTGCTGGGAAACTTCCGGGTCAAACAGGAAGTTAGGCCTATCCTTGGGCAAAACTAGGTGGTTCTTTAGCCAGGTTTCTCGAAGGCTCACGTGATCCAGGGAAGCAAGGATCACATGAGTTAGGAAGCATTTTGACCTCTCTTTTTTCCTGTCCCGTTTTCCTTCCGCACTCCAGGATAAACTGACGAAAAGCCTGGCGTACATTCTGAGCAATCAAGACACCGTGCAGGCTCAAATTAACGAGCTGGAAGAGACCCTCAGACTAACAGAGGTAGGATCTTTTCACCTTTCATACTCGTGACCAGGCCCTGCCCCAGTACTCACTAAGGACTAGGGATGTGAAGAGTATTCAGTCAGTGTCTCGTTCTTTTTGATTCAGCTGAGATGCACCAACAAGGAATTTTCAAGCCCTGTGAAATTTCTCGCCTCCAGTGCGAGAGCAAGACAAGAAGTACTTTGGCCTCTCTCCTCCCTTTTTCAACCTCATTAAAGTCACCTCAATTTGCACAAAATGTCTCTGGGCCGAACCCGTATCCTTCCTCTGGGAGGAGCAAAGCGTGTACAGACCAACACCTATACTTGCGGAATACGTACAAAATGACTGATTCTTCGAAAAGGCACAAGCACCCCATTCAGTGCTTCTGTTCCAAAGCACTGAATGGGTTATTTGTGGCTTTTCGGAAAATCGTTCTGACCTGTGGGGAAACTCATTGAGAGTGGAAGAAATATCTCAGCTTCTTTCTCAGGCGAGGGGTGTGTGAAAAGTGATGTTTTAATGATCCTTACATGTATAAATGATATTGGCAATATCTGTCAGTGGGATACATGATAGGGCCTGGGAAATTCATACTGAGCTGCAATGATAGAAAGAGCCGCCTGATTTTTCTACCTTCTGTGTGACAAACAAGCCTCCTCCCGTTGCAGGCCAACGGGGCGCAGGCCAAGGAGGAAGTGGCGCGGCTGATGCGTGGCTTAAGCGCCTTGCTGGAAGAAAAGCAGACCTCCTTGCTCAACGCCATTGAGGAGTGCCGGCAGGACCGGGTCTCGAACCTGCGGGCCCAGCTGCACGAACACCGGGCCATGATGGAGAACTCGGGCATGGTGGGCTACGCGCAAGAGGTGCTGAAGGAGACCGACCAGCCTTGCTTCGTCCAGGCCGCCAAACAGCTCCACACCAGGTCTGTTCCGAGCGCAGCCCCCCCGCCCCCCGGGATGGCTCCGGGCTCCTTTCTAACAACAAGACAGGAGCTCTTTAGGGGCTTATTGTTCGCCATGCTGATTGCTCAAGGTCTACCCCACAACAAGTTCATCCCCTGCTTTCTTTCCTGTCGACGTTTCCCTTCCCTTCTGTCGTCCCTTAGGATCATCCGGGCGACGGATTCCCTGCAGGCTTTCCGACCGGCCGCCAGCGCCTCCTTCAGCCACTTCCAGGTGGACGTCAGCCGGGAGCTGAAACTGCTCACAGACCTTACCTTTATCAAGGGTAGGTCGGACAGTTACCTGGCTGTAGGGTGAAAGGGGGGGATAGGGGGGCAGGAAGGGGGGCAGCAGGATCTTGACATCGGACTTCTCAGCCTCAGACGGCCGGGACTGGTTTTCTCAACGGTGGGGTTTGCCCGTGGCTGGAAAGACCCTGGCTTGCATCTGTTGCCCAGTGGGGTTCATTGCAAACCGCCGTAGGGTGACCCCCCCATGGAACCCCAATAATGGAGCCCCTTGGTTTGGGAGGGGACACACACCATCCGTATAGGCCCGCGATGTGGGTTGTGACAGAGGCGTCCGTGTGTAAAACCTGCTGAAGATCCAGTGGAATCCGTTGGAGATCCGGCAGTGAGTAGAACATGGCCCGATCAAGCCGGCTCTTGTTCATCATCCTCATCCCTGCCATGCTCCTTCATGCACCACCAGATCGATAGGACAACTCTGGTGGGACCTCTCTTTCTTTTTTTTCTTCACATCCTTAAAACTCTTTCAAATCCCGCCGGGGACGACGCCTTTCCCTTGTCACAGCAAACACCCCTGCATCCCATAATCCACCGCCCGCCCGATTTCCCAGGCGCAGCGCCCCCTCCTCACGCCACCGACGCCCCCCCCTCCCGGAGGCCCACGGCCTGCTCCACGCCTGGCTGTTGACCCATCTGCTTTACCTCTTTTTGTTTATAGGCTGAGGCAGCTGCTGAGTCTACATCGGAGTAAAAACGAGGCAAGTCATCTGTCACCCAGCTCAACCCTTCCTGGCCCTCCCTCCCTCCCTCTCTCAATCCTGCTCTCCGCACCCATCCATCCGCTCACTCGCTCCCCCTCTGCGTGTCTTTTTCTTTTTTTAAAAAAATTGATTTCTCCTTTCCGGTACCAGTCTGGACTATAGCCTGTATAGCACAGAATGCAAGGGTTTGAGCTCTCTTCTCTCTGGTGTTCAAATCAGGTTCCTAGTCCTCATGGATGCAAGAAAAGAAATCTTAAAAGAGGTCACCCTTTTGACATCCCTAAAAGGCCGTGGGCGTCTACACTGCCTGGTTATAGCAGTCTGAGCCCACCATTTAAGCTGTAGTGGAATGCTGGGTAATGTAGTTGAAGGAGGGGCTAAGCCCTCTCTGGTGTAGCTCGAGTTGCAGTTGAAGTACCGAAAAGCGTCGTCTTGTGAAATAGGTCCCGAAAAAAGCCCATCTTGCGATGCATGGACTGAAACATCATTCAGCGAAAATCGCCCATAGGAAACACTGTTTTGCGAAGTGCAATGGTGATCGCAAAAAGTCGTCGTCATGCAGATTCGTCGTTTTGCGAGGTCAGCGTCTAGCGGGGCACCACTGTAATAGTGTACGCTATGCATAACATTGTCTCTGTCTCCCTCTAGTGGCCAGTCCCGGTAATTTCATCATTAAAATATATACCGTATTTTTCGCACCATAAGACGCACTTTTTTCCCACAAAACAGGGGAGTGGAAAGTCTGTGTGTCTTATGGAGCAAAGAAAACAGATTATATTTTCCTGTTTTCTTCTCCTAAAAAATTAGTGCGTCTTATGGAAAGGTGCGTCATATGGAGCGAAAAATACGGGTATATGGGAGATTTTTCTTTTAATATTTTTAATATTAAAAGATAAGTGAATCAGCGGATACCGATTCTGTGGATAAGGGGGTCCTGCGGTAACTCTACAGTGTAGACATCCCCTTTGTCTTGGAATAGGGGGTTGTGGGGTGTGGGCAAAAGGTTTCAGATGCCCTCTGTGCTTTACCTCACTTCTTCCCTCATCTTCCCCCTTACCCCCACTAGTACTTACTGCTTCTTAATTTGTGCCCCTTAACAACCTGCGTCCCCTCCCCACGCCGCATTTACTGAATGCCTTGGAAATCTCATATGTTCGATTGCTTAAGTTATGCCTGAAAATAAGCCCTAGGAGGATTTTTCAGGATGCTCCTAATGGAAGCCCTACCCCCCAAAAAAAGCCATAGTTAAGTGAGACCCCGCCCTCCACCTTTGTGCAGCAACCAAAGAAGATGATGGGATGACTGTAAAGCATCCCCTGAAAATAAGCCCTAATGTGTTTTTTGGAGCAAAATTTAATATCAGACCCTGTCTTATTTTCGGGGAAACCCGGTCGGTGGTTCATGGCGATGTAGTGGAACCAGGGCTCCCCGGGTGGAAAGGACTACGATGTGATCTGCCACCTCCCGTAGGTTTTCTCGTTCCCTCCGAGCTGAGCTGCCATCTTCAAAGTAACTGGGCGAGAAATGGGTTTTTACACCATTAGTTTCCGCTGCCGACTATCACGATGAGGTTTGTGCTCCCAGAAAACAGCCCCCCCCACGGCTCTGCCCCAAGATGCCCGCTCACCCCTGCCGGTAAGGTAAGGATTAGGGCCTTTGGCCTTTCCAGCTCCCCTCAGCCCCAAGGACGATGGGAGTTGTAGTCCAACAACCGCTTCTGAGTTGCGCGAACCCTGTCTTGTTCTACACCCTTCTCCCTGTCGTTCGGGGTGGCGTCTCCATGTTCTCCTTTTGGGTGACCCGTCGTGTACAATCCCCGGTGACCATCACCCCCCCGTCCGCCTTCTCCCCCTTCCCTTCTTTTCCACGCCGCGATCTGTCTCGTCCCGCCGCCTCCTCCTCCCGACCGTCCCTCCTCCCGCATCCACCATCGCCTCCTCTCTTTCTCTGCCTTCCTCCCTTCCCCTCCCTTTTCCCTTTCCCAGGACTCGCACTCACTGCCTCTCTCTCGCTCCCTGGACTCTTCTCAGCAGCTTGACCCGTCTAGCTGACTCTTCCCCTTCTCTTCTCCTTCCCCCGTTCCTGCCCGCCGGTCCTCCCGGGGCCCGAGTGCGGTTCTCTTTTTTTTGCCTCTTGGAAACCCACCCCCTCCAGCCCGTAGCTGGTTTGTCTGTCGGTCCGTCCGGAAACACCCGAGCGGTTGAGCGCGGGTTCCCCCCACATCTGACGCTGCCCCTGCCTTTCCCCTCCCTTTCTATCTCCCGCCGCAGCTCCGGAAGCCCCCGTGATCGACACGCAGCGCACCTACGCGTACGACCAGATCTTCCTCTGCTGGCGCCTGCCCCAGCATTCCCCGCCAGCGTGGCATTACACGGTGGAGTTCCGCCGGGCCGAGCCCAAGGGGAAAGCCCTGAAACTCTGGCAAAGGAGGGAGGAAGTGAGAGGCACCAGCGCCGTGGTGGAGTACCTGGACACCGACTGCGTCTACGTCTTGCGCGTCCGGGGGTGCAACAAGGCCGGTTTCGGGGAATACAGCGAAGACATCTACCTGCACACACCGCCCGCGCCCGGTAAAGACCTGCCGGAATCGGCGTCCTGTTGGTTTGATCGGTCGGGGGGGGCGAGCCGGTGTATCACTAGGGCTTATTTTTGGGGTAGGGCTTATATTACAAGCATCCTGAAAAATCATACTAGGTCTTATTTTCAGGGAAATAGAGAGAGCATAGCCTCTGGTTCCCTCTAATGGCCAGGTCTGGTAATACATTTTGCAAGGGTATATTGCTAGGGTTTTTTTCCCCCGCATTTTTCAGTGTATAAGACCCCCCCATGTATAAAATACCTCCCACTTTTCTAAATCAAAATTTATTGAGCAGGAACTTTCCCCCTCCACTTTCTTTGCAAAACATGGAGGGGGAAACAGGGATCAAAGCACTTTGATCCCCCCTCCTTACTCCCAAGTATAAAAGACCCGCAAATTTTCCTTTAATTATTTTAGGAAAAAGTGTTGTTTTATACACGGAAGGTACATGTATAAAATACCTCCCACTTTTCTAAATCAAAATTTATTGAGCAGGAACTTTCCCCCTCCACTTTCTTTGCAAAACATGGAGGGGGAAACAGGGATCAAAGCACTTTGATCCCCCCTCCTTACTCCCAAGTATAAAAGACCCGCAAATTTTCCTTTAATTATTTTAGGAAAAAGTGTCGTTTTATACACGGAAGGTAGCAGTCACACGCGCGCTCGGGCGCTTCTTGCTGTGGCCACCACTGCCCAATTGCCTCTTCCAGAGCTCACGGCTTGTGAGATGGAGGTGGAGGAGCCCACCTCCATCAAGGGTCAAAATTAGGGGGGTGTTTTATACATGGTAAAATACGGTATATTTCAAAAGATGAAGTTACCAGAACGGGTCACTAGAGGGTGCCAGAGACCATAGTTTAACAGTGTTTACTATTAAAATCTCGTTCACTATAATCCACGTTTTTCAGTATCCGTGGGGGGGCCCTGGGAACCAATCCCCTGCGGATACAGGGTTCCTAAACTGTACCAAAAAAACCTTATTAGCCTTCCCATAACTTAGAAGGGACTTTACAGTGTCATATCAATGATTTTACAGTGGGGCCCCACAAGACGATGTTAATTCGCTCCATTGAAATTGCTGTTTTGCGAAAACATCATCTTGTGAAAAGCGTTTCCCCATTGGAATGCACTGAAATCTGTTCAAAGCTTTCCAATGGGGGGAAATCGTCATCGTCCAGCGAAAATCGCCCATAGGGAAGCCATTTTGGGAAGCGTAGATCAGCTGTAGAATCGCTGTCTTGCGAAAAACAGAAGCGCTGATCAGCTGTAAAAATTGTCGTCTTCCGAAACACTGTCTGCGAAGCACAGACCAAATCATCATCCAGCGAAATCCCCCGTAGGAAAAAAGTTTTGCGAATCGCTATAGCGATCGCAAAAAGTCATTGTCCTGCGGATTACCCGTTTTGCGGGGTAATTGTCTAGCGGGGCCCCACTGTACTTGGGGTGCCATGTAGCCCGTGTTTGCTTCTCACCCAGTTTCGCGGTCTCTCCGTGATTCTCACTTGCCGTCTTTTTTTTCCTCCCCTCCTCTGATTCTGAAGTGCTGAACTTCTTTCTGGACAATCGGTGGGGCTTCAACCGGGAACGCCTGGCCATCAGCAAGGACCAGCGGGCCGTCCGGAGCGTGGCCGGGCTCCCCATGCTTTTCGCCGCCGAGCGCCTGATGACCAGCTGCCACCTCTCCATCGACCTGGTGATCGGCGACGTGGCCGTCACCCAGGGGCGGAGCTACTGGGCCTGCTGCGTGGACCCCAGCTCTTACCTGGTCAAGGTGGGGGTCGGCCTGGAGAGCAAACTGCAGGAGTGGTTCCAGGTGCCCCAGGATGTGGTCAGCCCCAGGTGAGCACCATGGGGGAGAGGAGTGGTTGGCGTTTCCCCGCCGGGAGCGCCACGTCTTCTTTATGGGCGCCACGGCGTCAGGAGAAGGTGGTCCCCAGGATGTGGTCAGCCCCAGGTGAGCAGCACGGGGGAGAGGAGCGGGTGGGGTTTCCCCGCCGGGAGCGCCATGTCTTTATGGGTGCCACGGCGTCAGGAGAAGAAGGCCCTGTAGCCGTGCACCTGTGCACAAGGTGGCCGAGAGTTGGAGGAACAATGCTGATCTTAGAGGTTGGGCGAAACTTAAGACCAGCCCACCTCAAAATCATCCTCCAGGTCTGGATAGCTCAATGGGTTAGGTCTCTGGCTGTGGAGCTGGAGGTTGGGAGTTCGAGTCCCCCAATGTGCCTTCTTGTCAGGGACTGGACTTCATGATCTATAGGGTCCCTTCTAGCTCTGCCATTCCAAGATCATGATGATTCCAAAACACCAGGCACAGTAAACGCTATAAAAACATTGACTAGTATTACAGTGGTGCTTCGCTAGATGATGATAATCTGTTCCACTGAAATCGCTGTTTAGCGAAATCATTGTCTAGCGAAAAGCATTTCCCCACTGGAATGCATTGAAACCTCTTTAATGCATTCCAATGGGGCAGAATCGTCGTTCTCTAGTGAAGCTCGGCCATAGGAAAGCCGCTTTGCGAACCGCCGATCAGCTGTTTAAAATGCTGTCTTGCGAAGCTTAGGTCCCGAAAACACCCGTTTTGCAAGCACGGAGGGAGCTGTCAAAATCGTCGTCTAGCGAAAATCGGTTTGCGAAGCAGGGACCGAACATTGTCCAGCGAAATTCCCCCATAGGAATCACTGTTTTGCGAATCGCTACAGCAATTGCAAAAAGCGAATGTCTAGCGAAAAAACTGTCATGCGGGGTAACTGTCTAGCGAGGCACCATTGTATATAACAGCTACCTAGCTTCCTGTTCAGAAAGAAAGCTCCCAGCAAGCACTGGGGCAGGAACAGGAAGTTGAGGCGGAGCTAGGCCATGCTCGGCCTCAACACTTTCCACTTTAGGCCTTTCTCCCAGGCGAGCCGCATTTAGGGCGTCTGCCCGGTAGACCTCCCAGAAGGGAGGATGATGGGGCTTGTCGCCCTTCTGAACTTCCCATCCCTGTCGATTAGCATCTCACATCCCCGTGGCGAAGCATTGAACCCGCCTGCCTTCGCCCCTTGTTCTCCCGGCACAGGTACGACCCCGACAGCGGCCACGACAGCGGGGCGGAGGACACCACGTTGGACACCTCGCCGCCGTTCGCCTTCCTGACCATCGGCATGGGCAAGATCCTGCTCTCCCACGGCGTGGCGTTGACCTCTTCCCGGGACCCCGGCAACTGTACCGTCCCGCTGCCTCCCCGGGTGGGCATCTGCCTGGACTACGAGCGCGGGAAAGTGACGTTCTTCGACGCCGTCTCGTACCGCAGCCTCTGGGAGTGCGGCGTCGACTGCTCGGGGCCCGTCTGCCCGGCCTTTTGCTTTATCGGGGGCGGCGCTCTGCACCTCCAGGAGCTGGTGGCCAACCGCCAGGAGCGGAAGGTCACCATCGGCGGGTTCTCCAAGCTGGACTGAGCCCCGACCCGCCGGGCCTTCTTATCTGGCGTCCAGACCTGTGCTGACGGCGGGGCCATCTCCCCGAGGCCGGGAGGGCGAACCGAGCAGCCCGTGGGGCGACCTCCGTCCTCGGGGGTGGGGTGGGTTAAAAACACGGCATTCGGGGAGAGCATTTACGCGTCGGTGTGGGGGGGAAATAAACAGCGGAGGTTGCCGAAGGGTTGCTAGAAGGGCCGTCCATCCCCTGCAGGGCAGACCAGATGTCGCCCCCTGGTGGGCCGAGGGACTTTCCAGCAGAACGATACTCTTTTGTTTGGAACGAGGGGGCCACCACCAAGATCCCGTCGAGGCCCCGCCGTGTCGAATGTTGTTGCCAAAATGTTGGTGGCGAGGGGAAACAGGGGCTGGGAGCCTTGTTCCCCTCCCTGACGCCCCACCCATGTGGGGTGGGGCTGTTTTTCTGTGTTTGTCTAGCTCTCCCCTCCTTCTCGTTCCTCTCCTTTCTTGTCTTTGTACCTGCGTGAAGGTAAACCTTCCCTTTTCCTCTTGCCCCCCCCCATGAAAGCAGAGGCCGGGGGCAAGAACCCCAATCTATGTCACAGAGGGAAAGAATTTCGTTTCGGTGCATTAGTAAATTCAGGATGTTTTTAATGGCTTGTTCTCTCCCTGACCCCTTTCCCCCATTCATAGGATCCTGTCCCGACTCTTTTTCTCTTTGCTCCTCGTCCATCACAGTCCCCTTCCACCCATAGGGGGATCGGCCCCTCTCCCCCCCCCATACCTCTCCTATAGTCTTGGTTGCAAATGCAATTTTAAAATAAATCCCACCCCGAACCCCCAGATCCTTGTGATGCTCAGCAGATTGGCTGCTGTTCCGGATCCCCCTCTTCAACCACGTCTGGCTCTTCGGACGTGGCCGGGAATGATTTTGGGTTCCCAGGTGTGTGTTCTTGACTTTTTGAGAAAGATGGGAGGGGGGGTGGAAGCATGATGGACGAGGGACAGCCTTCCAGAAAGAGGGAGTCCTTGTGTCGGTGAGGGTGGGGGGGGGGGCGTTGGGGGTGTTTTGGTGG